GCATCGACACAGAAAATTGGAGCAAACAAATATTTCCTGATCAATTGCGATGTGTTCCAATAAAAAATATTTTATTCCAGTCCAAATCAGCTCAATTACTTTAATATAAAAGAGTTATTGTATAATGTACAAAATGATGATACAATTTGATGAATATTTACAGCTACGGTTTCAATACCGTAGACGATGTTGGCCCGATCTTCAACAAAACATCACCCGTCTCCAGGGCAGGCGACTGGAAAAAGACACTGGTGTTCGGTCAAAACGGCGGAAACAAAATCGTCACTCCCACAATAACTATGAAAAATAACGATCTAAAGTCGAACCATTCGAGCCACAATATTAATATAAAAATGACTTTCGTTGCATTTGACAATGATAAACTTACCGAAAAGCCGTGTTATTCTCGGTCGCTAATGTCGGTATAATCCGCCATTTTATTTGAGTGTGTTTGCCACCCGACTCCACCCGGTGACGTCATCATGTGCGCTATAGAAGGAGGTATGTGATTCGTTGACTAAAATCGTCGATAGTGGGTCTCGTTGAAATCTTGTTACATAGGCATCGGCTCAGATGTAGGTAGGGCGGAATTCAAAAAATCCCAAAATCAAAATCAAAGTAAAATAATAAAATAAAATAAAATAAAAGGGCATTAATAACAAAAGTAATAAAAAATAAAATTAAAATAAGTTTATAGCCAAAACAATTAAAGCCTGTACACTACATCAGATTTTAATCAGATTGAGATGATCTGTTACGTTGCGCAGACCTTATTAGTTTTACACTCTGTTCATTTTAATTTTCTGATTTGCATAATTAGTTTTCAGCTTTTCCATCAATATCTCAAGTACAAGTAATTTTGATTTGAGCAGATACAGTGACTAAAAACATCAAATGTATGCAGTTTTATCAGTATGGCGAGTACGTATGCGCAGTTTCAAGAGTGACGCTGCCATTTTTTCAATTTGTCAAAAAAGCAGGATCCTTTCTGATTTTCATAAACACAAGTTCAATTTCACTTTGTGCAACATATTCATCAATAGACAAAATTGAAGGCAGAATCCCCTAAAACTTTCTGCCAATCTTGATTCGCAAATGTGCTGGTTACATGTACAGTGTTCTCCTCAGGCCTTTCAAGTACCACATGCCCGCGTTGCTTAGACAAATAGCCGCTTTCTTTTCGCCCGCGATTCTTGAAATCCTGTTCGCAATGCTTAAGTTGTTGTATTGTTTACAAGTGTCAGCCTCGTCTTAATTGCACATCTTTAAAACAATAACATGTATTGATCGAAAGGTGATCCTGCCTTTGTTAGCCATACAAAAATAGTGATAAAACGAAAGTCTACAAGAAGTATTTTGAGGGAGCTGGGCCTGAAAAGTAATAATTTGCCTATTGCGTTGGAAGATCTATCTAAAAAAAAAAAGTTAAAGTAAATAGCATTGGGAAAAAAAACGGTAAATAAATGGAAGCAAAAATTATTCAACTGCAGACGAGACGACTGAAAAAAAAATGAACCCTGACGTCTAGAAATACCTCATTCATAGAGTTCCTCATTACCGAGGAACGTCACTGAAGTGACGTAACGCATGTTTTGACATCGCAACTGATGCATGCTGGGTTACAAGAGGTAACAAAGATGGTGGCACAGAGTGCTTTTTTTTCCACAATGTTTAAAAATGTCTCGTTGGCGATTTTGATGTAATTTTTAAGATAATGGTCAATGAATCGTTTTAATTAACAAAACATTCTAAATTTGTGTATTTTTAAACCAAAAAGTCAGAGACCGATGTTCGCAACAGCAGCGGTGAATACACATGGTGATCGTAGCGTTACGCATAAGGTATAGATAGATCAATGAAAAATCGCTGACTTGAGTTTTGAAATAAAGTCATTATTGATTTATTAATTTGTCATATTTTGATAACCCGCAATCTGACTGACAAATTTAACCAAAAAATTAGGTTTGTTAAAATCTGAGCGAAGCCAGTGGAATCGCAGGTGCTCGTTAGATTTGGGATTGCCGGTTTTCTGCCAAAATATATAAAATATATAAATTTCTATTTGCAAATTGATTGTAATAAGAGAACCAGTGAGATATTTAAGAGCCGCTTTATTCATTATAAAATGAAAATCTATATTTTACCACTATTTACGGATTGAGAGTGTACTAAAGGGTGGATACTTTGCTGCCAATATCCCCAACATTGCTTTCGAAAAACGTCAAAAGCTAACACTTACGTGACAACTGCTGCGATAAAAACCAACCAGGTGGTGTCACAAAAAAATGACGAGAGTACCGGCAGCTGGTTTTACAGTGATAGCGCCCTCACATGTTTAATATTTTTTGTACTTTTTAAAGTGATCTTTCAGATTTTGTCTCTATTACAGTTAACTTTCACAGTGTCCTTTTTTTACAAGTATAGTGTCCTCACATGTTTTTCAAAATGCTCATATCAAACAAAATCTAGTGTTTCCATGTCATAGATTCTCGGACATCTTGATCAATTTTATTGATATTTGGTAAAAGTATGTTGTATCGACCTACATGATATTACATTCACTTATTATGCAAAGCCTATACCTTTATAATACTTTCTCTGATTACATAGGAGCTATTTACAGTTTAACTTTGATTCTTTTTTAATTATTTATGTATGGTCTTGCCAAATCTTGCTATGCATTCAAAAGAGAATGTTTGTACCTGTTTTTAGCTCTACTGTCAACTTTGTTAAGCGGAGCTTATCATATTAGTGATTGTCCGTCGACGTCCTTCGTTTGTGTCAACTTTTTACCTCTTCTTAAAAACTACAAGCCTGAATGCTTTGATACTTAGTGTATATTAGGTAGACTTCTCTTGAATTTGTTCATTTCATGATGTTTCCTTTGGTGAATATTTTTGTTATTTTTGGTAAAAAGTGATATTTTCGACTTCTTGTTAAAAACCGCAAGTCCAATTGCTTTGATATTACATATATAGGTACTACATGTGCCATGCATGGCTTGTTCACATTGATATGTTTTACGTATTAATTGCGTTGTTTGAAGTGTTATGTTAAATAACAAAATAACGCATGAGAATTGAGTTGCACAAAGCTATGGATATTTTTATTTTGTGTTTTTAGAAAACTAATCTTGATGTTGATTGTGTGACAGAGATGTCTGTACATTTTAAGAAGAGTAAAAAAGATATGATGCAATCTGTTTTACAAGTAAGTACAAACATTGTACCAGATGATATTGCAACAAATAAGTATGAAGACAAGATCAAGTATGGCACCGCATTGGAGAATTACATTTATTTACTGTACTTCCCCATCATAATCCCAGGGTCCTCAACATGTAAAATAAGGGGTGGGCTTATACTTCAGGACCACCTCAGAAAACATGATTTTTTTGGGTTTAACATTGTATGCATCTTTACTACCCACAAAAAATGATCAAAATTACATCTTTCGTTCACCATGCCAAGCTTATGTCTTTTTGAAGAAAAAAAAAGCGAAACAAGTCCTCAATGATTTCTTTTACAATGAATAAACAAACATGTTCATAAAACTACATACATTTTATTACATTACAATTTACATACCACCTCTGTGGGAAAACAGATCTTTATCATTATCTTTGCTGTGAGATGTTTTTGATCGCACGCAAACTTGATGCAAAGCAATACCGCCATGTTTTTCAGCACGATTTGACCTGAGACAACCTTCTTTGACCTAACAGGTCAAGTCTTTTTATTAACCAATCAAAATGCTGTGTCATCCTGACAACGTTTTTAGATTATTGACGATGCAATTTGTTTTAATGCAGTGCGGAAGTGAATTAATGCAATGTTAAAATGTAATCGGTTAGTCCTGATTTTGCCTGAAAAACAGAGATTTTTTCCCCCTAAAACTGGTGATTTTTGAAAGGTAAACTGTATGTGAAGAAAGTATTTAGACACTTTTTACGGCTGCCAACCGGTCACAACGAAGAATAGTTTACTCGTTTACACTTCATTCACATTCACATAATCTTAATTTAATGTACATGATTTTTAAAAAAAAAACGATGTCCAATGACCAGGTTTCACGACTTGACGGTCACATTTTTGGTGTTTGAAAGCTACCACTCAAAGAGATATGGATTATTACAGTATTGAAACATCAAGGTTCATCCTGAGTAAATAATAGAATAGAAAGGCTGTGAACCATTGTGCATACGTTTGCCATGCACTCTGAAATTAATGAGTTTTCTCATTAAAGCATGAATCAATTACCGTACCAATCACATTAAAGTACCTGGCAAAGTTAGAAGAATGGATACTAATTCTACTTTATTTTTAGTGGAAGTATAATGAAGTTACAGCAGTATATTTTATTTTATTGGCGAAGAAATACAATGGTAAACCAGTAAGAATTGTCCCATCTGTGAAACCATTAGGAGAATTGAAAAAGGTAACATTTACAATTGATAATCGTCATTACAGCTGTTTCAATCAATATTCAATGATTTTTTTTCATATGAACATTGACACACTTGTAGAAACTTCTGTAAATCTGTTAAACAGTTGTGATAAACATTGTTCAAGCCATTGTATTACAAAATCATATTATACCACTGTTACTATTAAAAATTGTACTGTAAGTTGAAAGCATACTAAACAATAATCGCCTTTTGTTTTTTTTGCCTGAATTGAAATAAAATTGCGTTCTAATGAAAAGATTTTGTGTGTACCTGTAATTATTATTTGCATTTCAGATATCTAACTACAGAGAACTTGAACCACCAACCAGTTCTCCTTACATGTTCAGCTCAATGGAGGAGGGTTTAGAAAACTTTGAATCATATGCAATAAAACATCGCAAAAGAGAAACAGATGATGGAAAAGAGAACTTCATTAAGCCTAATGTACCACCACCTAAAACACCTGCTAAAAGTTCTAAACCTAACAGAATACCCAACAAAGGACCAGCACCATTTACAACACCAACTAGAAATGTTCAAACACCAACTATTATTAGAACACCTGCGCATAATGGCGATGTAAGAGTGAGAACACCATCCAGGAATGTTTATAGGACTCCAGAGCGAGGTGGTTCAGCTCGTCAACGTCTATTAACAGCTCCTGTTCCAACTGGTCTGTCACCATCTAAGTCTATGGAGAGTAATTTACACACATGTACACTGACACCAGGTTATGATATTAAAAAGTAAGCACAGTAACAGTTTTCTGTTTGTGGGGATTATTGTGGATATTATTGTGTTGTACATGTCAAGAGGAACATATCAATCTCTTGGATTAAATTGTAGAAACCTTGGACACCATTGTCTATTTTGTTTACATTATTAATCTGTCTTCTGTTTTCCATTGTACTTTTAATCCAGTAAGTATATTTGCTAAGAGATTAGGCTATTATAACATATTATTATATGTCTAGCACAAATAGAAAAGAATTTACTGTTCCATTAAAAGTCGTATCAGCATTCATTCTAAAATGTATCTGCTCTTGTTCCAGCATTCAATTTTTCCCATATATGGGGTAAACTTTGTCACCGACACTGAATACTTTCCTTTGTTTTTATTGGACACAGATGCACTATTTCATTTGAATGAAATAGAATCCTGTCACTGAACTCAAATGTTCATGCAGCACAAAATGTTTTTTGTTGGTCATTTTGGTCCTTAGTGCTCATTAAATTATTACTACATATAGAAAAAAGATGTATAATAATAATGGTTATTTGAAAATGCCAGTATGTACACAGTATGCAGTCACATTGACCTCTGCTACTACTTGGTCAATGTGATTGCCATATCGCCTTCATGCGTAATGGTCATTGACTCAACACTGATAAGTTAAATAAGTATAGCAATAAAGTCTCAAAGATTTAAGAACTTTACTAAAAGACAAACTACAATTGTCATTATAAATAAATATTTCAAGGAGAACAAATTTTATGCAGTGTATCATCCTGAGTATGCTCCCTTATTTTTGTAGGGCACAGTCTATGGAGTATGATCTAGATCGAGCTGGTTTAGATAGTAAAGATCCTGGTTCGGCAAAGAAGGTATTTGGTAGCTTTGAAAGAGGGTTGGACAAAGTAAGAGATTTATTGACTCCTGGCAAAAGAAGAGGATCGACCACAGAAGAACCAAGAAAAGTTAAAGTTAGTATATCAAGTAACTTATCTGCTTTATTAAAAGTTGCACATAAACCAATATTTGCATTTGGCCTTAGTGTCTCCCTGAAAATTTGACTTCTAATACTAATGGATCAGATGCTGTAATAGGAAATGAGTTTGACTGGGAAGTATAGCATTAAGATAGCGAGACTATTATTTGTGTTGAAAATTACAATTTTCACATTTATTTATTAATTGATGAAATGCACTATAAACTTTCATCTGATAAAGTCAACGTAACATAGAATGTCATGTAAGTTGGTTAAAATGTAGAATTTCTGAAGGGAAGCAAGGCAGCTTCAGTAGTGTTTTCCAAAATCAACAACACAGGTTTAATCTGTGTGCCTATAAGTTTCAAAGATTAACTCAAGAAAAAGCAATGTTAGGATGTGTTATCAGTAGCTTTCTGACACACAATGAGTGTTTCCAAACATTTGAGTGGTTTGTCTCCGCCCCTGTTTATTTCACAGATTAGTCATTTGCATATGAATGTGTCAGACACAAGGTCACACAGCCACTGAAAAAAATCATTGATTTTGGTGTTTTCATCTGCCAATTTTATCGAATTATAGCTATCCCATTCCTTCATTTTTTGGTTTCCAATAGCCTTACA